ATATTTTCCTGCTTTCTCTATTTCATTTTCCATAATTCAGTGAGCTAGTTCAAATTAAGAAAACATCATGTGCATCTTTAGAAGAAGCAACTTTATATAAATTAAGTTTACTGCTTAAATAGATTCTGCAGCTATGTTTCTGGAATTGTTACCTGCTCAGTGGTTGAAGTTTATTTACAATTTGTATAGCAAACATGCATTCTTAATACAATTCAGTTCCACTTAAGAAACTGTTTATGAATGGCATGATTAATGATTAGTTGATACCTGTGTCATAGTGTCATGAGCTTTTTTACCAGTATAACTACGTACTAGAATAGGGTGTTACCCTCATGATTAACTGCTGTCCAATTATATGATACTTACTTAAACTTCCTCTGAGTTTCAGACGAAGTTGGATTTTACTTCTTTTAAAGGGTAGGAGGAATCCAAAACACAACCTTGGAAAATATTGCCTTAGCACGACTCACATCATTCCATAGGACTAAGGGTTTTGGTAGTTGATTAGGTTTCTTGTAGACAACCATAAAATTTATAAAGCTATTTGTAAGCCTTCAGAATGATAGATATTTTATATCTATAAATGATATAAAATCATATCATTTGATATAAATTATGTACGTTTTGGTATGAATTTTATATATACATTTTAAAAGTCCTATTCAGTTAGGGTGTGTTTACACAGCAGGCGTAACTCGAAATAAGCTATGCAAATTGATCTACGTCAATTTCATAGCTTATTTAGAAATTGGGATCATCTGCACAGCATTTATTTCGAAATACGCTTCCTCCGACTTTCCTTATTTCTTATACAATGAGGCTGTGTCTAGACTGCATCTCTTTTCCGTAAAAGGGATGCAAATTAGACACATCGCAATTGCAAATGAAGCGGGGGGGGGGGTTTTAAAACCCCCCCCCCCCCGCTTCATTTGCATAAAAATGTCTGCCGCTTTTTTCTGGCTCGGAGCTTTGCCGGGAAAAAAGCGCCAGTCTAGATGTGGATCTTTCGGAAAATAAAGCCTTTTCCGAAAGATCCCTTATTCCTCATTTTAAGAGGGCCCATTTGTCATCTTTAGCAGAACTTGGAGGCTAGTGATGAGAGCATTCCTCCTCCTCTGAAAGTCCACACCTGCAAGATCCAATATGGATCTATACTATCCTTGCTTCTCTTGAATATCTGCATGAGACTTTCGGCAAAGATGAGATACCATGGGCTCAGCTGCTAATACTGTGCTGATGGCACTACTTGAAGTTGATGGCATTGTATTCAAAATACTTATCAATAAGTGGCGATACATCTTCTGTAGTTAAAGTGGGATACTGCAGAATTCTGTGATGGGTCCTGTATTAGTCAATATTTTCATTAATGATTTTTACAATGGTTGAGAATATGCTTATAAAATGTGCATATAACACCACATGAGGTGTTGCAAGTACTTTGGAGGGCAGCATTAGATTCACACTGTTCTTGGAAAATTGGTCCGAAATGAGTTAGATGAACTGCAATACAGAAGTGCAAAGTACTACATTTTTGAAGGGAAAATCAAATGCTCCAACTGCCAGAAGCTGTGAATGAGCAACCTGGAATGGATCACTTGATGTTTACCTATTCTGTTCATTCCCTGTGGGACAGCTGGCACTGGCTAATGTTGGAAGAAAGAGGCAGCAGTGTGGGATAGCGGCAGCCCCTGTCCATGGTGGCCCCAGGTTCCCCATGGACAGAGGCTGCTCTGGAAGATGCAGATGCAGAGCCTGCTATCCTGAAGCAGCCTTTGACTGTGGAGAGCTCAGACCTCCCTCCTCCCCACCCCTGTGGATAGGGGCTGCTACTTTGAAGCAGCATCTGCCTGTGACGGGCCCAGGCTGCTTTGCGGCAGTGGGTCCCCCCCTCTTTTCACCTCCCACTGCTGCCTCTGTTAGAGGCACCAGCATGGAGGGGGTGGCAAGTGGCACCGCGGAGTCAGTGCTGAGGGGAATCACTTTTTTAGCCAGCTCCCCCCAGTACCAGCTCCTGCTTCCCACCCTCCCTTGCAAGTAGCCTACATTTATCACTTAATCTTGTTGACTTGGTTAATCATCTCGTCAGCAACTCGTTAACATCCCTAATCCTGAGTGAACTGTATTGAATTAAGTTACACCTTACTGAAATCGTTTTAACTTTGTAGTTAATTGTATTAAAATGAAATTGTGGAACTGTGTGTATTTATATCAAAAGGGTAATTGTAGAACAATAAGGGATGATCAGACAAATTAAGTTAGGTTATAACATCTTGAGAGAAACTACCGCTAGGAAAGGGGTGCATATACTGAATTCTCCACACACCCATAGATAAAGGGTCTTTGGACAAATAGATAGTTTTCAACTGACTGAGGCTTTCTTCCTGATTGAGCAGTTAGGCAGGACCCCTTGTGCACAGAGGGTCACAATCACTAGGGGAGGATTTGAAAGGATTGGGCATACCATCATTTATTAAGTTTGGGTTTCTGGTAAACCTATTAGTGTGTCTCTGGTGGTGTGTGTAATATATTTGTGTGCCACTTTATATCTAAAATCTCAGAAGAGTAGCCATGATAGTTTGTAACTTTAAAAACGACTAGTCCTGAGGCCCCTTACAGATTAACAAAAATATCATGAGCTTTTTCATAGGCAAAACCAACAAAGACTCAAGCTCATCTGAGGAAGTGGGTTTTGCCCATGAAAGCTCATGATATTTTGTTAATCTCTAAGGGTACATCTACATTGCAGAGCTATTTTGGGATACTTCTGGTTTCCCAAAATGGCTATTCTGCATCTATTGAAGCAGCCTGTTATTTCAAAATAACAGGCAGCTTATTCCAACATCCCGGAAACCCTCATTCCACGAGGGTTAAGGGGAATTTTGGAATAGCATGTTATATTGAAATTTGGTGCTGTGTAGACGGTGCCGAATTACAAAATAATCTATTTAAAAATACACCTAAAATAAGCTATGCAGCAGGTGGGAGAGCTACAGGAGCAAGTGGCTAGGTTGAGAATCCACGAGCAATTCCTGGACAGTGTTCATGTAGAGACAGCTGAGGTAGCTGTCCCAGTACATAGGACTGCTGATGCACTACTGGTGGAGGAGAGATGGCTCAGGGTGGACACTGGCAGTTAGTTACTTCTGGCAGCAGGCAGTGCTCCACCTCTACTCCAAACCCTCCCACCGTGGTACTAGGAAACCATTATGCTCTTCTTGATGCGGGAGATAAGGAATCACCCCCTACAACAGAGGAGGAGAAGCCTCGTACCCCCAAGACTGGGAGGTCTGCTGCCACCACTGTGAATAGGAAACATAGCGTAGTGGTGGTTGGAGACTGTTCTGAGAGGAATGGAGGCGCCCATCTGACGCCCTGACATGTCATCTCCGGAGGTATGCTGCTTGCTGGGGGCCCGTATCTGAGACGTTATGGAGGCTCTGTCGAGGATTATCCAGCCCTTTGACTACTACCCCGTGCTACTCCTCCATGTGGGCACTAATAATACTGCGAGGTGTGACACTGAGTGGATCAAGAGTGACTACAGGGCTCTGGGAGTACGGGTGAAGGAGTTTGGAGCATAGATGGTATTCTCCTCAGTCCTTCCTGTCAAAGGTAGGGGCCCAGGCAGAAACACGTGCATCCTGGAGGTGAATGCCTGGCTGCAAAGATGGTGTCGCCAGGAGAGTTTACTTCCTTCAAACATGGGATGCTATTCCAGGAAGGACTGCTAAGCAGGGATGGGGTTCACCTTTTGAGGAAGGGGAAGACCGTATTTGGATACAGACTGGCTAACCTAGTGAGGAGGCCTTTAAACTAGGTTCGATGGGGACAGGTGAGCAAAGCCCATGGGCAAGTGAAGAACATGGAAAATTGGGAGATGGGTCGGAAATGGGAGGGAGTGTGGGTTACAATAGCAGAAAGAAAGGAAGGACGAGGCAGAACTGGTAGGCAAGGTCAAATCAGTATCTTAGATGCCTATACAGGCAGTCCCCGGGTTACATACAAGATAGGGACTATAGGTTTGTTCTAAAGTTGAATTTGTACGTAACTCGGAACTGGCTCCAGATTCAGCCACTGCTGCTGAAACTGACCAGGGGCTGACTACAGGAAGCCCGAGGCAGAGTTGCTCTGCCCCCAGCTTCCTGGAATCAGCCACTGATCAATTTCAACAGAGGCTGAATCTGGAGCCTGGGACAGAACAGCTGGGGCGCTGCCGAGTAGGTCCCCCCAGGACCAACCGGGCAGCACCCCAGCTGCTC